TGTCAATGATCTCAAGTAAAATTATAGTGTGCAATGATGTATAAAGATCTTTTTGTAACATTAAATTTTAGTAAATCCATAAGTAGTACACACCGCATCAATTCCATGGGACCTTTAAAATTTAGTAAAACCAATCGGATTAATTACAGTGGCTTTAGGGGAAAAAAATAATTTGTAACGTATATTCCTTAAATTCCATAAAATATTCATATATCTTGTTACCCAAATTTAGATAAACGACTTAATGGATGATTTTGGAGATTTTGTGATCTGTTGGAGAAGTTTATTTGGGGATAGGATGGTGATTCAGTTTGAGAGTCATGGATCAAGTTTATTTGCAGTTGGAAGTGAAACGGCAGAAATCATGTGTCAAATTGAGTTTTTTTTTTTTTTTTATTGATAAAACTAAAGATGAAGTTTGAGTTAGGGTTTTGAGACTTTTAAGGATAGTGTTACACTTGAAATTTTGGGAAAAAAGTTTGTTTTTGTTATAATGGGGTTGGTTTTTGTTATAATAGGGTAATAATATGATTTTCTAATAATATTAAAAAACGTGCTAAAATTGACCTAACTAATAAACCTAACTCCCAATTCCTAAATATAAAAAAACGTCAGCATCTCTGGCTACAAGGGCATAGCCTTCTTAGCCTTATAAGAAAAAGAATGATGAGCCAATAGTAGTTGACGTCCAAAATTGAAAGTAAGAACAAGTAAGATATCCGGTTAATTAGAGGCGTGGAAGCCACTATTAATTTAATTTTGTAAGTGTTCACCATGGTGATGCCTCAACATCATAGACGAAAGAAATTGACATAAAACATCCACATGACATGATATGTGGTTTGTCATAAGCACCAATTTCTAAGGTGATTAAATAATAGATAATAATAAAAAGATTACAACTAATACCTAACCACATATATGCCTTCAAAACATCGGATGCTCTCAATGGAAATCCTTTTTGTGCATTTAGGTTTAGATTTTGGCCATTTTGAGTTGATTTTGGAGTGTTAGGTGGTTATGTTAGTTTTTAATATATATAATTGTAAAATATCTACTTACCTTTGATAACAATAACTAATCAGTTTTGTTAAACTGATTCAAATCTTAATATATAATCACAGACACTTTTAAAGGGTTGGAAGATTGGGTGAATGTGGCTCAAAACCTCGTTGGAGCTTATATGCAATTCTTAACGGGAAAAAAAAATCAAATCCCCACAAAACTATACAGGTTAGAGTTAGACCATTCGAGAGTAAGTCGGGTTGAAATATTTAATATAGAGAAATCCCTCTATTCGATTGTTTTCTTCTTTGTGGGCTTTTCAAGATGAATTATAAAAGCAAATTCAGACTTGATGAGTAAAAGAAAGAAGTGATTTACATTTTTTTTTTTTATAAATGAGACAAAATCCTAGAAAGTTTGATTAATATAGTGCTTGTATATAGATGACCTAATCATAATGTTGTGTTTCAATCAGTGTATAACTTTAATACCGCATAAACACTATATCAACACTTGTACTTCATTCGTTCCGAAATTATTATCCAATTTGAATTTTTATTTTTAGTTCAAATATTTGACAATAATTTCAGAACGGAGAAAGTAAATTGAACTAAAAGTGAATATGAAAATTGGAGAATAATGTTGTATGTAATCCAAAGTGCTTCAAATCGATGGATTAATCAGCTAACTAATTAGACGTTTGATCGAAGCAAGGCTTCCCCGTACAATGAGAATTTAAACGTCTCTGGCAAACATCAAGTGATTAGTAGCAGATGATAAATATATTCGTTTGTTTTAAGAGATGTAAATAACTCAGCAACTAAATTTTTGAACTATCTCATTTTATTTATGCATTTACTTATTTTAAACTAAATTGCTCTATCAGTCTATCTCATTTAGTAGGAATAAATCCATACGAAATGAAGTGGGTTCTCCTTCCCCTTTTTTCTTAATTCCTTCCTTCTTTCTTTCTTTCTTTCTTTTTTTATTTTTTCCCCCAAACCACCTGGTATATGAACCTCGAGTTTTGTGACTGCTTCATCTTCTAGAATAACAGTCCAAAACTTTCTGTATTAATTAGTTTTTCAAGTAATGATAAATACTGGAAAAATTGTAAGGAAGAAAAAATAACAAGAAATGATCACATCTATTTATTTTTAATACTCCCTCTATCCCAAAATTATTGTCCTGTTTGAGATTTCATTTTTAGTACAATTTAAACTAAAAATGAAAATCCAAAGTGGACAATAATTATGGGACAGAGGAAGTACTATTTTTTTTAAAAAAAAAAGTTTATGTATTTATAGTTAGGAGATCGTTTGAATGATTGAGATACATCATACTTCTTTCTTATATTTATCATTCCTTTTTTTCCCCCTTAAATAGAATAACGTGTCTATAGTCAGTGACAAAGGCAACCTTCTTGTACGCAAAATCAGACTAAAACTATTTGTAGAACTTCATAATTATATGTGCATCCAATTGATAAATACTTCCTCCGTCCCATAATTATTGTCTAATTTAAGCTTTCATTTCTAGTTTAAATTATACTAAAAGTGAAATCTCAATGTGGATAATAATTTTGGGACAGAGGGAGTAATAGCAAGTAGCTAGCTAACAACATCAATCAAACTCTAATGACGATCTTCAAAGTAACAATATCAGGATTTCATTTTTGTAATCTAAGTGATTTAATTACATTACCAATACATCATCTCTCTATCCACACACACCAATCACCTCTGTAGCCTTTAATGAGTTGGATTAAATATGCTCCAAAAAAAAAAAAAAACAAAACGTATCAAATCACATAATATTTGGCACAAAAAATCATGATGCATCAGGAAAACGTATCAGCTGTAAAAATATAAACCTTGACTTGATAATTTCATATTACGCGAAAGTATATTATTACAAAATTTCTTTTCTTGGGAGAAGCATCAACTCAACTCGAGTTTGACTTTTAGAGTAAAAGAGTCCGTTGAAATTGCTTAGGTTGACTTTGATGAATCCACGATTTTAATATATCTGCCTTTCGGGAATGACTTTCAGAACACCCCAATCCATCACCGTACAGAAGAATGAAGATGAAAATAATAATAATAATAATAACAATATTCATTAGATTAATTTAAATATCTTAGGATTAAGGAATTAATTTATTCCGCGGGATCTGAAATTGGAGTCGAGAAGTCCAAAATTAAACACGTAGCTCAATCTAGCACGTGCACTAGCAGTATGTTTTGGAAGCTAATTGGCTGCTTAGATTACCATTTTATGCTCGAGTTAATTTAATTCCTTTTGTTGATCCCTATACAAAAAAGATGATATTTTGTATTTAAGTCCAATGTATTATGCCGGCGTTTTCGTCCATTTTCATCATATTTTTGATTTCCCATTTTGTCCATGAACTTTGTTTGTTTTTCTATTTTTTTTTCCCTCTTGATACAATAGTATTATGTTTCAACCATGATATAATAGTGTACATCTAGACGGTGTATTAGCCCTTTGAACAAGTGTCTCAATATGAGCGAGTTAGTGAAGACGTGAAATTCTTCTTCTTAAAGTCTAAAGTGATAGATTCAACTACATCTGATGTGCATATTTTGTTTCGGAATCGAGCAATCAAGAAAAAGAAAGTGTTAACACACTTTGGTGCAATCATCAAGTAATTCTAACACTTGCGAATCACTTGTTACCTATTATTAACATTCATTTTGATTTATAATTTCTGTTTCAATAGCATTTTGTTACTCTTTTTTTTTTTTTTTTCTTGTTTGTGATTTATCATTATAACATTTTGACATATCTATGTTACTGTGCAAGTCAAACTCTTTGATCCCGTCCTCATACTAGCACCAGAATCAAATAAGAAGTAATTTTAACACGTAACATATAATTAACTAGGATTACAGAATATATATATATATATATATCTATATATATATATATAATACCTAACCCACACAAAATATTTTCAAGTTAAAAAAATCTTACATGATATAGACTACCATCAGTCACAAAAAATGTTACATGATATAGACCATAATGTGGGAGAGGGTTTCAAAGAACAAGAAACTGAAAATTCCCTTAGCTAACAAAAAAAGGAGAAGATTGATGATAATTAGTTTCGCTGTCTCAGAAAAAACACTCCATTATTTTTCTTTAGGACGGAAGGAATAGTTTCGAACAAAGGGCATTAATGTCAATTAAAGGGGAAGAGGATCCATTTTGACCAAAAGAACCAAAAATCGCGCCTACAAATGGAGTTGGAGACGGGGAAATGGAAGTGGGGAAGCCCATGTAAACACGTCTAATCCGCCTGTGAAACAGTGGAGTAAACGACGTGAGAGAATTGGGAGAGATATGATCTCACATGCCTTTTAACTCTCCCAATTCCTTGAACCTAACGGCTCCCTAACCGCCCACGTTTTCCCACCTTCGACACCCTTCAGTTTAAGGTTCACTAGAGTACTGTATTCATCCTTAATTTTTTCCTTTTGAACTAATGATTTTGTAAGATGAAATTGACATGAGTTATAATCCTTCTAAAAACATCAAAATGAATGTTCGTGAGAAGAAAGGGCTTATTAGTTATTATGTTAATTACATTTTGCATTCAAACACTAAATATTTATTCATTCGTTTATTATAACACGATGAGTTACATAATGTAATATATATATATATATATATCAGATATTTATTTCATCCGATCATATTTAGAGCCGACGAGTTTTGAACGTTCTCCGATCATCTTTATCTTGAATTCTTTGCTGATTTATGGATGAATAATCCATAGCTACTATCTGCTCGACAAAACTTAATTGTTAAATGTACAATTCTTTTTATTGGAAACAAATTTGTGATGGAGAGTTAACTATTAGCTAGGGTGACAGAAATGAGCAACCCAATAAATAAATTTTTACAAGATTAAATATATTGAGTGGAAAACGAAAGGGATCTAACATGCAAAAGCCCCAAATCATTGAGGGGTAAAATGCCAATTTTCTACCTATATATCTACCTCTACACCCTCTATAACATTCCCCATTTCTCTTAAGTCAACCACCACACTCTCCCTAGAGATACACTAACTATCTTCAAATCACTTGGGGGAAAAAAAAAAAAACTTAATCTTTCTCCTAATCAATCTCAATGTTCACTAGCACAATTAATTGTGACAACACAATGTTTGAATCCCCTTCAAAGGATCATCATCAATCGATGATGATGGAAAGGAGAATATGGAAATCCAACAACAACAATAATGCTGAAATAGCGCCAAATTGTCCAAGGTGCGCTTCTTCCAACACCAAATTCTGTTACTACAACAATTACAGCTTGTCACAGCCTAGGTACTTCTGTAAAGGCTGCCGGAGATACTGGACCAAAGGAGGATCCTTGCGGAACGTCCCCGTTGGAGGTGGCTGCCGGAAAAGCCGTAAATCAAAGTCGGCCAGGCTTCAGGCCGATCAAAAATCCGGGTTGAGTTACCAAATACCTAGCCCTGGTAGCACAAGTGATGAGTCAAGTAGTACAAGTGGAGTCAACATCGATTTAGCGGATGTTTTTGCTAAGTTCTTGAGTCAAGATTCGAGCAATAATAACAATGAAGTTGTGGATGAAATGAACAACAATAACAACGTTAGTATTCTTGATCAAGATCAATCATCTTCAAGTACTGGAGTAAGTTACAATTCTCTAGACTTGCCTACAAATTCTAACTTTGACCAGGAAAATATGATTTGGGATGGCCAAAATTCATTCGAATTCATCGTTGACGATGATCATGGAGCGCATAATCAAGATCAGGTGATCAATTATAATGAAGGGCTTCCTCCATTATGTCTGGATAACGGAGAAAACGCGGAAATATTTCTTGATCAAAATTGTGACGTTTTGGATTTGCAAGCTATTTTTGGTGGCGATGAAATTGGTCAGCAAACTCATTTATTGACAGATGTTGAGTGGCAATCAATCATGCAATTCCAAGATTTTGGATCATCATCTTCATCATCTAATCAAATTGTTGAAGGTATCAAAATCCCATCATCAGATTTATCAGCTCATCATGATGAAAATTGGAGTTCGTTTGATCATCTGTCAGGTTATGATATTTTCTCAAGACCCTCCTGGAATTAGAAACTAGATTGAGGGTTATGATATTATTTTTTGGCTTCGTTTTGTTATTATTATTTTTTTCGTTCCAAAAGTTGAAGTTTCGGTTATTGAACTAAAACAGGACAATAGCCAGGACTCATTTATGAGACGGAGGAGGAAGAGTATTTAATATTTTTTCCTTCTTCCACAGAAGAAGAATTCTTGTGGCAGTTAACTGTCACTTATCACATACACGAGGAAAGATACATGTAATGAAATGTAGTTATAATTCATACTTTGATTAATAAAATTTTGTTTGAATTTGGTTGTGGAATATATTGATCAATCGCTTTTGGAATGGGGTTTGTTATATTTTGCTATTCTAGAAAAGGTGGAAAGATAAGGAGACATTTATAGCACATGGGGAGCTAGGCTACGTAAACTTGAGGCAATGCACGTACGCATCATCTACCTCGCCTCCATTCCCATGAATCTAATATGATCTTGTACCTAATTCGATTTTTTTTTCTTATAGAAAAATAGTTACTTTGATGACAACAAAATCCTTCGTCCTAAAAATTTTTTTAGCCAAAATAAATGTTTTAATAATGAATAATGAAATTATGTGCATGTGATTTGGGGATTCCTAATTTCCCAGTAAATCATCGTACCAATTCTCTTATTTTATTGATAGGAGGCTTCAAGTTATCATCGTGGATATGTATAGCACTAGAAATTATTGAAACAAATACTAAAAATGAAATCTAAAGTGAATAATTATTTCGAACCAAATATGGTATTAAAAAAAAATGCTTGCAACTTTGACTAAAATTCATTCACGGTGGAATTCTATATATAGGTTGATCTGAGCAAGACAAGAACTTATCTCATCCATGATCACTGCCTTCTATCAAAAAAGATAACTAGATATGTTCAATGATTTATAACGCGATCTCTACGAAATTTCCAGGTCCTGAATTGTTTTTTTCGGGCGGGGGTTGTTCATGATGGGTCCATCAAAGATGAGCAAAATTCATAATCCATAATCAATCTCTGCAGTTGAAAAGATCGTACTCTCTCCGTTCTAAAATTACTGTCCAGTTTAGATTTTCATTTTTAATTCAAATTGTACTGAAAGTAAAATCTCAAATTGCACAATAATTTAGAATGGAGGGAGAACGTATATGTCCATTTCTTTGTGGGAATTCCAGTTATTCCCTTTGTCCATCAACTATTATTTCGAAATACATTTGTGGATAAATCCTGTCCCACCACGAGATTTGGAGTTTTTTTCTTTTTTTCTTTTTCTAAACTGACTTCATGTACAAAACTATGTGCCCAAATAACATAAACTCAAATCGTAAATACCTTCAATAATATAATAAGGATTGCGATTAACTCCATAAAACAAAAATTTGGATAAAATGTTAATAAGGGCGGAAGCCTTAATTCATTAATTATCAATTATTATGAGTTGTAAAACGATCTTATTTGTTTCTCTTTGGGAAATAAAAATTTTATATGGAAGTTTCTCAAGTTCATCATAGATTTTACTATGCAAAGTGTCAACTTCATCACGTTTCTTTGATATTTGAGTCCCCAAATCAGTTTCCAGAAAACAAGGTTCTTGCTTGAGGAAGTAATTCATATACACTCCAAATAAAAATTACTCCATCTGTCCCACAAAAATAGTCCAGTTTCAAAATGTATAACTTTTTAATTTGGTCAACCCAGCAATGTACAACTCATTTTAGTCTAACAAATTTCCTATCTTACCCTTGTTATTTCATATCTTCTACTGTTCTCTCGACGGAAAAAAAATCACAGCTGCCTGCTACTACTGAAATCTCTGATGCCAATCAATTCTGGACGTGATAGAGACGGCAACGGTTCTACTCCGCGGTTCAGAGAAAACACCCGTGGTACGACGACAACGCCACCACCGCCGATGATCAACAGTATATTTCAATTTCCTCCACCAAACCACCAGGCCCACCACCACCACAAACCACCAAGAATCCGTGATACAGTGGCAATTCCCTCACTTTCCCTGGCCAAGACGTGTCTTTCGAGATTCAACAACAGCAGTTCAAAATTGATCTTCATCGCCAAACAGGTACAATCAAATTACCTCTGTATATCAAAAAATTCTAATTCTTTATTTATTTTATTTTTTATTTTAATTTTTTGATAACTAATGTTAAATTTTTAATTAATCAGACGGCTAAGGTGAAAAAAGAGATAAAAGAAAGAAGGAAGAGCTACTCAAGGAGGGTCTCAATGGCAGTGGAGGAAACCATCGGAAAAAAGCTCTGAGCTTTTTTGAAGAAGAAATCTAAGAATCGGCTGATGAATTGGGACCCTGGTACAAGTTGTGTAATACTCCCTCCATCCCAAAATAAGTGTCATTTTAGCAAAATAGAGAAATTTCAAAATAAGTGTCGTTCTCACATTTCAATGCACTTTTTGTCCAAAGTTTTCAAAATTACCCTCAAAAGAATTAATACTATTGATAGACCATTTTTTAATGGGGTTAGTTGAGGATATTCAAGTAATTTTATTATTCTATTTAAGAGTTTCCTAAACTATATGCAAAGTGTAGGATGACACTTATTTTGGAATGGAGGGAGTAATGTTTAATTGTGAAGGATGTTATAGGCATTTCAATTACTTTTTATTTTGACTCTTCAAAACTGGACTATTATTTTGGGACAAAATTATTTATTAAACTAAACTATTTTTGTGGGACGGAGGGAGTACTTATTTGTTCCAAAATTATTGTCCAGTTTTATTTTCAATTTTAGTTAAATTTGTATAAAAATGTAAAAAGTTGAAATAATAATTTCAAGACAAAGGAGTAAAATATAAAACCCCATATATATGTAATTTTTTAAAAGAATTATGAGAAAGAATCAATTTTATATTTTTTATTTTCCCAGAAAACAACAAAAAAGAAGAAAACCCCCAAAATTAAAATTTCACTAATACAAGCCACATATTAGGACGTTTAGAGGTTATAATTGCTTTCGGCCTTTGCAATTGTCCAATCATTTGACCTCTTTCAACAACCAGATATTTAAAAGGTTTTATTGCCTAATTGATTCTCAAATTAGGATTTAAGCTGTAACTAAAGTAAGATGTATACACATAGTTTGGTGTAAATGTCCACGCATTAAATTAATTGCTGGAATAACAATGGGTAAACTAAATCAGATGAGGACAGACGTCCCCTACAATTGCTGATTCTCGAAATAATCTAAATCTTTACTCTAAAAAGAGAAATGATCCCGAGTCAAATTGCGTAAGACACAAGCAACACTTTAGCTACAACCATTGTTTGTGACCCGAGACTAACTACATTCCTCGATTATTCTATAGGACAACTTGTTAATATTGGCGACATTAAGAGTACGAGGGTGAAAAATACTCTACATGTTTCAAAATTATCGTTCAGTTTGAGATCTCATTTTTACTACAATTTAAACTAAAAATAAAAAACGCAAACAGGACAATAATTATGGGACGGAGGAAGTATTTCAATTTTAGATCTAGAGGGTTCGTCCCAGGATTTTGATGATGTGAAGGGGGGAGATTTTCTTCGGTTGCAGGCGTGCTGATATTTGAAGAGAAAGCCAACTAGCATGTCGATGGACATGAAAAGCGAAAACAGGATCAACGTAAAGCTGAATTGATGTAACAAAAACTTTAAAATTAAATGTGCTATGTTAGTTAGTTTGTGAAGTCAAAATCGTATGGAATAATATGGCACGATACAATTTAAAAATTCAGCTAATAAATTTGTGAGTTCAGTAATAACGAGACTTGGCTGAGTTTCCCGGCATTAATTACTAGAATTTAGAAAGCCAAAGGTCACAAGCAACATCTATATAAAATCAATAAGTGACCATTTTTAAACAGTGATTAAAAATTAGACAATCATTACTTGACAAGAGAAAGTAATTTATTTGGTAGCAAATTAACACGAACAATTTCTGTCCAAATATGGAGGGGCATTTGTATGTAGAGTTCGGAAGAGATAATGATAATAATCATGACCATTGTACATTAGCAACGTCCTATCCACCCACTACATATGCTGAATGATGCACCTTAATTATATGCATTTTGCAGCGAATCATTTGACCTTTTTCAACAGCCAAGTATTTAGAATGTCTTTATTGCTTAATTGATTCTCAAATTGGAATTTAAGCCGTAACTGAAATACATATAGTTTGGCTTACATGGGCACCGAATTAATTGTTTAAATAATAAGGGTAAACTAAATTAGGTAGCTCAGACGTCCATATTGTCCGCGATTCTCCGAAATATTGCAAATCTTTACTATAGAAAAAGATAAAATCCATATGTATTCAGAGAATATAAAAATATCATATCATAATAAGCCATTCTGAGTTCCTGAGTCAAATTGCATAATGGCTGGTGAATAAAGCAACAATTCAACTACGACGATATGGACATGAGACTGACTACATTCCTCAATTGCTTATACCAAAACCTGTTAATATTGGCGACACTAAAAGTAAGAGTGTGAAAAATAATTCCATTTCTTCATTTATTTTTAAAGGGTTCTTCCAAGCATTTTAATGATGTACATTGTGGAGGAGATTTTCTTCAGTAGCAAACCTGCTGATCTTTGAAGAGAAAGTCAATTAGCATGAAGACAAACATAAAAGCCGAAATGATCTATACACCGAATTAATTGCTTGAATAATGAGGGGTAAACTAAATTAAATAAGGACGGACGTCCCTATTGTAGGTGATTCTCCAAAGTACTTCAAATCATACTATAGAATAAGAAATGATCCATGTGTATTCAGAGAATTATCATCTTATTATAATAAGCTGTGTTCGCCCATGATTGCCAACTTCCTGAGTCAAATTGCGTAACTGGCTGGAGAAGAAAATTACATTTTAGCTACAATGACATTAGCCCGGGACTTGCTACATTTTTTGAGTACTCTATATCGAAACCTGTTAATGTTGGTGACACTTAGAGTAAGAGGGTGAACAATTCTTCTATTTATTTATTTATAGGGTTCGTCCCAGCATTTTAATGATGTACAAGGGGGAGGAGATTTTGTTCATTAGCTTGAAGACGACCATGAAAGCCGAAAACGAGATCGGCGTAGAGCTGAATTAATAAAAGAAAAACCTTCAAATGAAATGTGCTAAGTTAGTTAGTTAGTTTGTGAAGTCAAAATCGTATGATATGGCATGGGTCATTAAAAAAATTGAACGAGTAAGGTGTTTGTGAAATGATAAAGTTTATAAGAAAATTTCTATGGAATAATGTGGCAAATTCTCAAATCAAAAAACTCAAACTGGACTAATTTTTTGGGTTAGAGGGACTGAAAGAGTATATAAGAGTAGAAGTAGAGAAACAACACTCAATATTTACTAACTTAAAAACCAAGTTTTAGATAACGAGAATCTATAGCGACAACATAGCGATGATTGTTGTAGAGCGTTCAGCAGTGGTTAATCCAAGGCAACAATAGTATTAAGATTGAAAACAGTTCGGATTAGGGACGTAGCAGCTCTTTTTTCGATTCTCGCTTCCGTGCACATAATAATTTCTTCATGGTTTGCAGGGAGTAGTACAACGATTGATGATAACGTCTCCGGGGCGAAAAATGGCTTTCAACATCTCATCGCAACACAGGACAACTCAGTTGATTCAGGTGTGCGACCTAATTAATTAATTTTCTTTTTTTTTTTTTTGTTTTGTAACAACGAAAACCTAGTGAGATTAATTACCAAGGTAAGTCAGGAGTGATAAGTTTAGGTCCGAAGAAATCGAGAGATTTTGTATGGCTTCGACATAACAAACTCTCTCTAGTAGTACATATGTGCAAAGGCAAAGTTAATATTCACTCGTATTAGATCGAAGGCTTGAACTCAAAACTCCCTCTAAAGAGCAAAAACGGTTTTACCATTAAATTAAAATCTCTCAACGTTAAACCAGATTAATTAATTAGATCAATCTAATAACAATAATCTTGTGATTACGGTTGCAGAATGCGATCTCTACCATGGACAATGGGTTCATGATCCGCGTGGGCCATTGTACAAGAATGATTCTTGTCCTATATTGACTCAGGCGCAAAACTGTCAAGGGAATGGAAGACCTGACAAGGACTACGAGAATTGGCGGTGGAAACCGGCTCAGTGTGATCTTCCCCGGTTCGATGCTAGGAAATTCCTTGAGTTGATGAGGGGAAAAACCATAGCTTTTATTGGAGACTCGTTCGCTCGAAATCAAATGGAGTCATTGCTATGCATTCTTTGGCAGGTAAATTAATTACACTCAACTCACTCTCTCCCCAAGAATAATGGACAAAAAAATGTTTGTTTTTATTTTAAAAAAAAAACTTTGAAAAACATCTCCCACCTAATATCTTTTAAAAGTTATATTATTTCGAGACGAAGGCTTTTTTTTTTCAAAAGAAAAAATAAAAAATAAAAATCACAAAAAAAACACCACAAATTTCTTGACCAAACACATTTTGGTCTTTTTTTTATTTTTTATTTTTAAAAACACCTTTCTAAAATCCTTCTCATAAAAACTGGTAAGAAACCAGATGATGATGAACAAAGGATAAAATTATTCGGTATTTCACATCGTTATTAATTTATAATTTTCAGGAGACCTGCATTTATAATAGGATTTTTATTTTATTTATTTGAAAAATTCATTTCCTGTTATTTTGTCAATTTTACTTGATTTTTGTACCGGTCTATTATTTAATTTAATTTATTAACTTTATAGAATATTAATTTAGAGAGTTTTTAGGTTGAAATTCCGATAGACAGAAAGTACGGACTAATGCCGCGATACGAATTTGAATCAACCTCCACAACGATAATTCGGCTTTGATCTGCCTGGCTTGTAAAGAAAACCACGGATCCATTTGATGAATTAGAAAAGGTTCACATAGATGTTCCGGATGAAGGGTTCGTCGAATTGATCCCTCATTTCGACGTAGTAGTCCTCTCCTCAGGTGCCTGGTTTGATAAGAAATCAGCATACATTATGAACAATCAGGTAGTAGGAGGCCATTTGTGGAACTCCAGCGGAGACCAAGTCAATGTCAACAACCTAGAAGCTCTACGGATATCATTCGATACGGTCCTTTCTGCCATGGTTACGCATCCAAATTACGCCGGTCTTACCGTCGTCCGTACTATGTCACCTTCTCACTACAAGGGAGGAGAGTGGAATTCCGGCGGATCGTGTGACGGAAAAGTTGAGCCGACCAATAGTACTAGAGAAATGGTTTATCTACATGAAAGGATTACCAAAATGCGGGATCAACAAGTCACGGCTTTCAACCAAGCGTCCAAGAAGATTACCAACAAATCTAGGCTTAAACTGATGGACATTACCCAGGTTTTCGCGTATCGGCACGACGGGCATCCGGGTCGTTACAAACACAGTGACCCGAACATGTTCATGAAACCAGGAGCAGATGGGAAGCTCCCACCTCAGGATTGCTCGCATTGGTGCACCCCCGGTCCAGTTGATACTTGGAATGCAATGTAATTTGAAGTCTTAAAGAGAGATTCTAATGTTAAATAATTCAAAAAAAAAAAAAAATAGTCCAACGTATTGTTATTATTATTATTGGTACGAAAACAATCTCCAAACTTGGATAATTTGCAACCTGACGTCTGATTTACAGGGAAGAATACGCTCTGCAACAATCTCACACTGATCTAATAATCTTCCTTATTGAGTGGACTAAGAATAAAAGGTTTTTGGTCAGAGCAAGTTGGACTGTTGTCTTACTTGATCTCCTGATGCAAGTTGCCGGAAAAATGTAAGGGGGCTGCCTCTGACGATTGTTACCGTAGCTGGAATTTAATCAAACTCAGAGACAGAAGATCGGTGGAAGGCCATTCTCGATGATTTTTGCTCTGGTTCTCAGTGTCAATTACTGAGCAGTATTAAAAACACAATTGGACTTGAGTTACCACCATTTGCCATATTTATTTAAAGCCATGCCTTCTCTATTTTGGGACATTTCGAAAACATCAAGAAATTTCAGTCAGGAGGTTGCTCTGTTTGTGGATAGCATGAAGGGCTTTGTTCACCAAGAAGAGTTGAAGATGAGGGTGTTTGATACTGCTGAAGACTTACTTTGACTTGCGTAATCTGTAAAAGCTGGATTATGGTTTCCAAACAAAGATGGAGATAGTGGAGTTCAAAAAATGCCATAATTCAGGATTTTTGTTTGCAGAAAAGACAATGATCACCACCACTTTTAGAACACATCCTTGAAGGGTTTGATGTGCTTTGGGCATTCAATGAGCCACTGAATCTATGGAGACCATATGTATTTTCGGTCAGGCAAAACTTTCAATAAGTCAAAATTGTTTTTGTGTTTCTCAGTTTTCCTTAGAAAAATATTGATGACTCCCCTGTTTTACATGAGCTTGATAGGTTATCTGGTGCAGTTAATGATCAAATTGAAATGTACACACTTTTAGACGGAGACTATAACCAAAAGAGATCGTGGCATGATATCAGTTCTTGACTTTATTTAGTCAGCTAGAATCACTTCATGTCAAATCTCAGCGTAGTTCATCTTTTCCTTGTCAGTTTTGTTTCCCTCTAATAGCTGAAAAAATTGGTGTTGGCGGGTTTTAATTTGCCTCAGGGGCATATTTCAGTAGGTTGGAAAATTACAAAAAACTTGAAAGCCTCAAGTTGATCGAGATTAGCTTCGAAGAACATATATGGGAAATGAAAGATTAGAAATTCTCGAAAAAACATAGAATCTTAGAATTGTCTTCTTCATTCATTGTCAGGTGGACAGTCTCGAAATGCGCTGTGTTTTCGTGTTCCTTATGCTTCTTTTTATAGCTAAAGAAATAGTTGGGGGTGTTCTTGACTTGATCTTCTACATGAAATAATGCCGTTACTTTTTTCAACCATCTTTTTGTTTTTACATTATTGATCCTCCAGAGGAAAGATCAAGTCTGAATTTTCTGTGCCATGACAGTTCTTGTTGGGTGTTGTAGATTCCTGATGACGTTTTTAGTTTTGTAGAGTCTTTCAAAAACTGCAGGACCAAATCTTATACGGTTGGATTTCTTTGATTCTCTTTGTTAAGTTCTCCGGATTAGGTAACCATCACCGATACAAGAGAGGGAAAATTTATGATCCTTAACTGAATTTAGTTTTCAGTTTTACATTATCTTTAAAAGGAAGAAAAACTACGCTTGTAATTAAGCAGCTGATAAGGACTATGCACCAGTTTGGATTTTGGTTCAATGAGGATGAATTTAGAATATAAGAAACAGGCAAACTCAAGGTTCATCTTGCTGATAGGCCTAATCTGTTGTTATCAAAGTTCTAGTCTGACCACTCCTACTATTATTTGGAATCCTTTTCCTTATGTAATTAGGTAAATTATTTTAGGAAACTTTGGGCTCGTTTCTTCTATTTAAGCATCGGTCGCGCGCCTACACGGTAATAAAAATTGAGGATTTTCTTTCTCATCCCCAAAATCCATATTGGTGTTCAGTTTTGTTACATCTCGAGCTGACTGATGATACTGTACAAAATAGGCCACTTTGATTCTTACTATTATTTTGTATCATACTCTGTTATCCATGGCCAATCAAGTAGGAGAAGCAGGTTTTGGGTGGTTGCCCGAAGAAATCATTCATCGGATACTTTCTTTTCTTGATATTGATGACAAAATCCGAGCTTCTTCTCTATCCAGAAAATGGTCCGATGCTTATCGTAGCAACCCGAATTTGCTGTTTAATCAGAGAAACTTCAGAGAAATTTTGGAGGAAAAAAAAGACAGGAAACTAGCTGCCCAAACAGGTGCAGTTGGATCGTTGTTTCGACAGGTAATCGAGAATATTTTGCTCATGAAACGCAATTATGGAGGAGGTATTTCGTCGTTGGTTTTGGATATGAGTTATCAAGATGATGATGATGATGATGATGCAGCTCGCCTAGACAAATGGCTGAAATTTGCTGTGGAGAATGGAGTCAGAGATCTAAGTATTCGACTTTTGGGTCATTGTTATTATGTCATACCCGATTGGATTGTTGAAGATGAATCTTTAACAATGTTGTCCCTTCAAAATTGCAAATTTCCTGATCACAAGCACTTTAAGATGCACAATATTTCGTGTAAGAACATCCGCACTTTGGTCTTGTCCAAAGTCGCAATCAAGGATGATACTTTTTCTTCCTTGATCGCGGCTTGTCCGATGTTGGAGCAACTGAAGATCAATAACTGCGGTGGTTTGAAAAATGTTGAGTTGATGAATAATGATGTCCTAAATTGCCTCGAGGAAGTGGAGAAACATCAACTAAAATATCTGCAGAGTTTGACATTTGTGCGGGCTCATCTTAGCCTTCTTTCGGAATTTCATGAATAGGTTTCCGAATGTACGGTCATTGTTCATCAGTTCTTGCAGTGGCTTCGCGAGAATCAACTTAACGAGTTATTCGCTGAGGAATCTAGTGTTTGATCAACTTGGTTTTCAGAATCCCCAAGTACTGGAAATCAACGCACCCAAGCTTGTTAGTGTAAGATTGAGTAACACGACTCTCGCTGAAACATTCTTTGACAACTTTGAGGTGAAGTTCCCGCACCTTAAGTCCTTGGTTCTCTATTCTTGCAAAGGTTTTGGGACCATGAATTTAAGGAGCGATTCACTCAGGAATCTCGAGTTTGTGTCTGAGGATTCGCTGAAACAACAAGTATTGCTGATTAACGCTGGCAATCTCGCATGTTTTCGCCTTCGTTTATCTTGCACAACGTTGCTGTTTCCAATAGTATCTTTTGGAGCTCTACCAACAACCCAAATGAAATCCACTGTAACTATAGTTTGCTGTCCTCGCAAGTGCCTTACACGCAGCGGCGGCCAAAGAAGGCCTGTCGGAATGCGAGTTGGTTCATGCGAGGTGAAGCACCTGCAGAGAAAGCTGGCTGAGATGTATACTCAGGGCGTGGTAAATGAAGTTGAGAGAGTTGTTTTTCACGCAGATGATAAAATATGCGAAAAGCAGCCACTTGATTGGACGGGTTTACAATATAATGGATGTAAGAACTGTGATATATGGAAGAGGATCCGTTTTCAGCTAGAATGAAATTATTCTTCCTCAAGTTATAAGATTGGTGATAATCCAGCAAATAAACGTTCGAGGATTGAGTACTTTAATAGGTTTTGATCATTTTGTAAGATTGATGGAAGGAACACTTTACCTTTCTCTTTTTTTATAGATTACCACTTTTCCTTTCTCTAATTTCTTTAGTCAGCCATCACTAATAGATCAAAAATAAGAATTTTGTTCTGGCGTACTGTTTAATGTGATTAAGAGAGAAAGAGTTTCGGGACATGCTATATGGGGATGGAATCATGGAAGATAATAGATTTGGAAGTGAAAAAGGTGATGGAAAATTGGAACCAAAGAAAAGAAGATAACAGGAAAAAACGAGGTGAATCGGGAGGGGACTAAACTTGTTTGACTGACTAATTAGTGTAGTAATTTACTGTGTGACTGTGTGTATATTTGTGCATTGGTTTTGATGGTCAAATCTCTAACACATCATAAAGTGCCGGAAATGGCAAAATGTTGTCGACTTCAGTTTTTTCATTAAGGTTGTTTTTATTGAATGTACTTAGTGGAGAAAACTGCATGTTTGTTGTCATTAACCCCAAAACTCTGTTGCAACTCTTTCCAGTTTACAGTCAAAAGTATATCATCTTTTGTTTTACTCAATAATTCTCTCCCACAGTCTTAACGTTTGAATCTGCATTTGCATATTAAATACCTGTATTTTAGGATGCATAACGCGCTTTCTTTACCTCTTAAACATGTTTTCGCATTTCTTATTTGACTTTATGTTTTCGAAATGCGCTGTGTTTTAGTGCTCCTTATGCTGTTTATTGCTAAAGTAATAGTTGGGGGGTGTCCTTGGCTTGATCTTCTGGGTGAAATGATGTCATTACTTCTTTTCAGCCATCTTTTTGTTTTTACATTCTTGATCCTCCAGAGGAAAGACCAGATCTGAATTTTCTGTGCCACCACCGTTCTTGTTGGGTGTTCTAGATTTCTGATGGCACTTTTAGTTTGGTAGATTCTTTCAAAAACTTCGGGACTAAATCTTATACGGCTGGATTACTTTGATTCTCATTGTTAAGTTCTTCAAGTTAGGTAACCATCACCAATACAAGAGAGGGGAAAATTATGATCCTTCACTGACTGTAGTTTTCAGTTTTACATAAGTTTCTTTAAAAGGGAAAAAGCTAGGCTAGTAGTTAAGCAGTTCATAAGGACTATGCACAGGTTTGGATTTTAGTTCCATTAGGATGAATCAGGGATAAAAGATTAACCCAAAATCAAGGTTTTCATCTTGCTGCTACTTAGGCCTAATCTGTTGTTATCAAAGTTCTAGCCTGATCACTCTTTTCCTTCCTTTTTCTCTGGTTCATTCTATCATCAGCATTCAGTTGGTTCTTTCCGTTGGCTCAAAATATCATTGCGATTTGTTCCTGAGAATTGGAGATTGAGGAAATAACTGCATATCACTCGGATACAAAATTAGTTGAAGCCACGCACCAAACTCTTTTGGTTCAGGAAGCCAGTGTGCGATTTGTTTTTCTATGATACACTCTCATTTCGTGGATTGATGTTCATTGAATCTCCTTGTTAGGAACACATATGTCTCCACTTTTAGTTACTGTTTCTTTACTACCATTCTCAATATAAGGCCAGGATAGTGTGAAATCGCTATCACCTGATCACATTGAGATGGCTGAGTGATCCAGTCCTCCCATTGCAGTCGCGATCAGCCAATGGTAATCTTCCGCCTTGCCCAGTTGAAAGCCGGTGATCTCAGTGGGCTTTCCTCATCTGTCAACATTTGCTTGGCCTCCTTCATTGTCACCGACAATGCTTCTTAATGTACTTTTAAGTTCTTTTGGCAGTGTTTGAGGTTTTGTTTAATTCACTCAGGCAAATGCCATTAAAGATATCATCTGTGGATTGATTGCTTGCAGTTTAGACCTGTGACTTTCTCTAATGCTATAACAATTGATTATAATACCTTCCGCTTATAATGGTAATTCCTTTGGTTAGTACATTCAATGTAATGGCAAAATGCCTGTTTTCTAATAGCTCAGTACTGCAGAGAAACACCAAGTGGTGATTGCTGATGATTTGCAGATTCTAAACAGGCTCAATACGCATTTTTTATTTTTTTGGCTGCAAATCTTTGCAAAAAATTTCACAGCCGGTCTTAATCTTTAATCAAGATGATAGAAACTTTTACTCGTCCCAAAATGTGCAACTTTTCTGAAGGAAAAACAGTTAAGCTGTACTTAGGCAGTAACGCTAAAAATTCTTACTGCAGCCGCTGATGTTCTGGACAGCACTTGTTTATGTGGAAAATGACACAATGGAAGATTGATCGTTTTGTTATGTCTTTTAGAAATTCATTTGTTTTTCCACAAACTTGTAACAGCCCTTTTTAGCCCATATTTCGGTATCATCCTAACGCACCGGAAAAGCACAATGTCAATCTTACTTATAAATGTATCTTGATCTTGTACTGTAGAAGCATTCACAAGTCCTTGATTTACCTCTGCTAACATACCTTTTGAGTCTCTCAGATAACACACATCAAGTAATGCAGGATTATGTTTAAAGGGGTGTATTTGTAATGTCACCAAAACATAGCACAGTTTGTGTAGGAACAGTGAATTCCTCACAACGTTGCCAAATTAACTGAACACTGAACTCGTGTGTATCTTGATGAATTTATTCTTCCCATTCTGGACTATTAAAACGTGTGTAGGGAGTATGAATGAAAGGATGCAAATGAAAATGATGTAACCTTTTTTCTTTCTTTTTTATTCATTTGGCCTTTTTTTATTTGTCTTTTTCATTGTTAATATCGGGAATGTTCATGTATGGGAAGAGGGATGGGATTGATTAGAATGGTTCCAAGTTGGAAGATAATGTAATGTCTAATGGAAGAAGCAATTTTGTCAGTGAAACAATCAAAAAGATTTTTAAGGCCTTACCAAGCAAATTATGGGGATGGTGCCCTACTTACCACTTCTTGTGGTGGTGATTTGTCTCTCTCATTAGTTGCATTATTAGACGTTTCATCTCCATACAACCAAAAAACCAAATTTTAATTTAGCTTCCCAAATAATGCAGCAATCTGGAATGATTTGATCAGCTCAACCAATGTTAATCCACATTTTAACCAAAAGGGACATCCTAATTTATTTGGTGTAACATTGCATTTATGCCATTTGCATGGCCTCTGCCTCTGGGTTATTGTTGTCGACATAATTACTATTCAGAGACCAAATAAAGAAAATGATAAAAGATAAAAATTTGTAACCTTGATGTTCTAATAGGTGTGTGTAATCCTAAAACTAAAATGATCTAATAAGTGTGTAATTGATAGTGTCATTATATCAATGAAAGTGATAGTAAAATGATCAATCATACTTATTTAATCTATTTAAAATGAAAATTTATACTTGTGAATTTATTGCATACTATTGCAGAATAATGGGACATCCCCTAAGGTATTCATGCACTACAATATCTTTCCACATCAATATTGCATCAAAGATGAACAGTTAATCTCGCTCTCTCTCTCTCTCTCTCTCACACACACACACACATAAAAACACACACAGACACATGCACTGTTGCTGATAGATCCTTGACAAAATCTGTGTGGAAGAGAATTTCTTTCATCTCCTGATTCAGAAAAAGAAAACTTTGTAGGGCACTTTGGAGTTTATTCATATAGTACTTCTTGAAGAAACCAAAAGGGCCCTATCCATTTGTTGCAGAGCTGCTAAAACCATGACAGATATAGCAATATTGCAATATTCCTTCAGTAAATGCAGTACTAAGAACCAGAATAACCTGCAAATGAATATCTGAAGAAGAGTACAACAACAGCAGCATTGTGATCATGTTGCCATCTAGCAAAGAGATAACCATCATCCTTCTGTTTCTCAGTACTGTTCCATTACTAATCCATGGAATTTTTGGTTTGAATCAAGAAGGCCAATCTCTTTTGTCTTGGCTTTCAACCTTCAACTCCTCTTCTTCTGCATCTTTCTTTTCTTCATGGGATGAATCCCACCAAAATCCATGCCAATGGGACTACATCAGATGCACCACAAGTGGTTTTGTTTCGGAACTCACTATCACGTCTATCCATCTTCCAACTACATTTCCTACCCAATTGCTTTCCTTTAAGTTCCTAACTGTCCTTGTATTATCCGATGGAAACCTCACCGGAGAAATTCCTCCAGGCCTTGGAAATCTGTCATCACTGGTGAGATTGGATCTCAGTTTCAATGCTCTAACAGGGATCATACCACGTGAGATTGGAATGTTATCCAACTTGGAAGTACTGTCTTTGAGCTCGAATTCTTTGGGTGGTGAAATGCCTGAAGAAATCGGAAACTGTTCACAACTCAGGCAGCTTGAACTGTTTGATAACCAGCTCTCTGGAGTGCTTCCAATGGGAATCAGCCTTTTATGGAGCCTGGAAATCTTTCGTGCCGGCGGGAACATAGGAATTCATGGGGAAATTCCCATGCAAATATCAAACTGCAAACAGCTAACTTTTTTCGGTCTTGCAGAAACGGGTATTTCAGGCCAGATTCCAGGTAGCATTGGAGAACTGAAGAATCTCAGGACACTTTCAGTTTATACAGCAAATCTTACGGGTGAAATCCCACAAGGAATTAGTAACTGCACCGCATTAGAGAATCTTTTCATTTATGAGAATCAAATCTCTGGAGAAATTCCTGTTGGGTTGGGATTTCTTAAGAATCTAAAAAGATTGTTGTTGTGGCAGAACAACCTGAGAGGCACTATACCTGAAGATCTTGGAAACACATCAAGCTTGATTGTTATGGACTTGTCCTTGAATTTTCTGAGTGGAGAACTGCCAGCTTCTCTTCAAAATTTAGGCCTTCTGGAGGAGCTCCTATTGTCTGATAACTACATCTCTGGGATCATTCCTCAGTATATTGGCAACTTTTCTCGGTTGAGGCAACTAGAATTGGATAACAACAATTTTACCGGAGAGATTCCAAGCACGATAGGGAATTTGAAGGAGCTAACACTGTTTTTCGCCTGGGAAAATCAGCTTAATGGAAGCATACCAGCTGAAGTGGCCAACTGTCAAAAGCTTCAGGCTTTGGATCTCTCCCACAATAGCCTAACTGGATCAGTTCCAAAGAATCTGTATAATCTCAGGAACTTATCCAAGCTGCTGCTACTCTCCAACAAGCTTTCTGGAGGGATTCCGCCAGATATTGGAAATTGTACCAGTCTCAGCAGATTAAGGATGGGATCAAATATGTTCGATGGTCAAATTCCTTCAGAGATTGGGTTGTTGCAAAACTTGACTTTCCTCGAGTTATCAGAAAATCAATTTGATGGAGCTATACCCCCTGATATTGGCAACTGCAAGGAGTTGGAACTGATTGACTTGCACTCAAATCAGCTTGAAAGCACCATTCCTCTCTCTTTTGTCAACCTTATGGAGCTGAATGTTTTGGATCTTTCACTGAATAGATTATCAGGACGTATTCCAGAAGACTTGGGCAAGCTCACATCATTAAACAAACTTGTACTGAATCGAAATAACCTCAATGGGAGTATACCAAAATCACTAGGCTTCTGTAAGGATTTGCAGTTGTTGGATGTAAGCAGCAACGGTATTAATGGTCAGATCCCAGATGAAATAGGGCGGCTGCAAGGGTTGGATATTCTACTAAACTTGAGCTGGAACTTTTTAACAGGACCTCTTCCAGAAAGCTTTTCTAATTTTTCAAAGCTAGCAAACATGGACCTTTCCCACAATATGTTGACAGGGAGTCTGACAGTACTAAGCAACCTTGACAATCTTATGTCCCTGAATGTTTCGTACAATAAGTTCTCGGGCATTCTCCCCAATACGAAGCTCTTTCACGACATTCCAATTGCTTCATTTGTTGGTAACCAACAGCTCTGCATTAACAGAGCTCAATGTCACTTCAGCGAGCACGATAAGAGCAAAACCATCAGGAACCTCATTATCTTTGTTGTAATAAGTGTTCTTGTGACTGTCGGAGTCTTCACATTCGGGGTAATCTTCTATATTAAAGCTCGTGAAGACAAGCTCAATAGAAATGACGAAGAAAACAGCCTGCAATGGAGCTTCACCCCATTTCAGAAGCTGGATTTCTCAGTGAATGACATTTTGCCCAAGCTTTCTGAATCAAACATTGTGGGAAAGGGTGGATCAGGAGTTGTCTACAGGGTGGAGACACCAGCACACCAACAGGTAATTGCAGTGAAGAAACTGTGGCCAAAGAAGAATGAAGAGATTTCTCAAAGAGACTCATTTTCTGCAGAAGTACGAACCTTGGGATCAATTAGGCACAAAAATATAGTGAGGCTTCTTGGCTGCTGCAACAATGGAAAAACTAGACTTCTATTGCTTGACTTCATCAGTAATGGGAGCTTGTCTGAAGTGATTCACCATAAGATGATATACTTGGACTGGGAAGCCCGGTATAAGATCATTCTTGGAGCAGCTGATGGCTTGGCTTATCTGCACCATGACTGCATTCCTCCAATCATTCATCGTGACATAAAGACCAACAATATTCTTGTTGGTCCACAGTTTGAATCTTTCCTAGCTGATTTTGGGCTCGCAAAACTTGTAGATTGTGCTGATTATGCAAGAGCTTCCAATGTCGTAGCAGGTTCTTATGGCTACATGGCTCCAGGTGAGTATTACACTTCAAACTTCAGTGCTCTATTGGTGCAACAAACTTCACCAAACTTCACAATGTACTAAGCAGTATCAATTACTGAATGCACCAAAAACTCCATAAACTCCATGAGCTTTCCAACCCATACAAACTTTTTCCAAAATGTGCTTCAGCATTGAACTTGTTTTCAGAATTTACACCATAAAGTCACTATCTTCCTTTCCAGAAGAGGTGAATTACCCCCAACAGTTATTCATATATCAAAATATTCCTCTAGAAACTGAAACTTTCTAATTTGTTATGGTAATCAGATTGTTTCCACATAAATTCTTACTATGGTATCTCCCACATTGCAGAATATGGATATAGTATGAGAATTACAGAGAAAAGTGATGTCTACAGTTATGGCATAGTGCTGCTTGAAGTCCTAACAGGAAGGGAACCAAATGATCCCAGGATTCCAGATGGTGCCCACATAGTCACTTGGGTAAACCACGAGCTGAGAATTAAACATTCTGAGTTCACATCAATTCTTGATCAACAGTTACTAGTACTTTCAGGAACACGAACATCTGAGATGTTTCAAGTTCTTGGGGTGGCCCTACTTTGTGTAAATCCTAGCCCCAATGATAGACCTACAATGAAGGACGTTGCAGCAATGCTAAGAGAAATCAAGCATGAAAACGAGGACATTGAGAAACCAGAATCACTTCAAAAGGGCCACATTTGTAACAGTAAAGCAGCTATTCATTGTTCTAGCTTCTCAAGATCTTCCGAACCTCTAATTAGATCACCTTCCCAGCAATCAGAATAAGTACTCCACAGTTAGGCCCTGTTCTTTTGTTCCATCATTTCTTTTCCAGTAGCAAATTAGCTGTATAGATTGATAATATTCAAAGGAGTTTATTGCCTTGTATACAACCACTTTTTGGTTTGAATTCATTCCTGCAGTTATGATCTTTCCTCCAACAAGATTGTAATTGGAGGAACATAAAATACCGCTGATGCATAACTATTTCCACATAATGAGATTCTGTAAAGGCCATAATTCCTATTCTTTACTGTCAGTTTAGTACTAGGATCAGCTTATGAATTTTTAAACCATGTCATCTCTAGGGAACCAAAAATGTATAATGATTCAGTAAAAGAGTAAAAGTTTCTATCAGTTACAAACCATCTTCCATAAATTAACCATGAAAAGAAAAAAAAGAAAAAAGAAAACTTTCAAACATGTACCAATTATCAGATGGACAGTTCATGATGAGACCAAGGAATTGAAAAGTAGCTTTCAATCCCATGGGATGTTTTCTAGAAGAAATAAAAGGGACGAGGAATTGGTTGGCAGGAAGCAGATGGAACTTACATAAGAGGTAAGCAAATGGACCAACATTCCCTACCAACTTTTTCCAACACTGCTTTCATCAAAGATGAGTAAAGATACACTTACGTCGTCTTAAATATGCTTTCCTTTTCCACATGTGATAGTGAGGTTAAAACAAAAGACATGTGACAGCAAATTCTTCAGACCCTCCTGTAGGTCAGAAAAAACTATCGAGTTTCAATGGCTAAGGATCAAACACAGCTTTGGCAGAAGATTAGACAACTTTTTCTTCGAGAAGTACAGTAAAACCACATTTTCATCAGAGGTTCATACATAATTATGTCGTTTTCGTAAGTATTACTACAAGTATTATTCTGTTTAACATGATTGTTTGAACACCTCACTGGCATAGGTACTCGACAACTCAATGCAAGGAAATATTAGGAGAGTATATGTGAGCACTGAAATTTTTAATTTGTATGTCAAATGATGAAATTCATCTAAATCAATATTAATTGCAGTATAAGATGATTCTATTGATATGACCAAAAGTGACATCGACAATAGGCTTCTACTCATGTTAACTGATTGTACAAGACCTTTGTTGGAGGCAACATTCAGGTGGTGGACAAATGCGAAACAGAGAACATTAATTGGCAGATCAAATGGAATAATGGGAAATAAATGAATGTATGGAAAACAATAAGTAGATAACTGGTTTCATGTAAAACACATACAAAAGATTGCCAATTTATGTGCCCTAGATTTATGCAAGAATCAATAAAGAGGCTGGCATATAATTTCCAACAGATATAACATGTGATTCATATTAACTCACCCTTTTGTACACAAAGCTGGAAGGTCAGATACATGTATACAATTTTTCTCTGAATATTACATGACAGAAAGATAAGTTTTTACCATACATTTCATTGACTTGACCAAATACTACACAAAAGCTTTGGGAAAACAAGGGAAATGTAGCAAGTATTTGCAGTGATTATCCACCTCGGAGTAATAACTCCCTGATTCTAGCATGCTTGAAATTCACCTTGCCACGGCTAAATTTAGCTTCCTCTATCACAGCTTCCTACCTGGATGCCACTTTATACTACAACCAATACTAAAGAGCAAGAAAAAGGTGAAAAAAATATTAGCATACTACTGCAATGTCAACTTCTTTGAAGCTGGTGATTTATCCGCAAAAGTTCCAGAAAGCAGAATCCTCCAACTAAATAATTAAGAGAAGAAAAGCATTACCTTGGTTTTTGAACTGATGGCACAGGTTGACCGCTAAGAACACAATCTATTGCCAAGCTCAAGTCTCTAAACAAAACATCAAATTACAAAAATAGTAAATTTATCAATATACAAGAAAAAATGGTAAAAGATAAGCAGGAAGAAAAAACTCAACAGAAAGTAACAATAAAGATTCAAACCTTCCTGTAACTGGCACATTATTACTTGGCCTTGAATCATCAAACTGTCCGTGATAAACTAGCTCAAATGGCCTACGGCCATCCTGTGATAGACGAGTCTAAGTTAATATTCCAGGGACTATGTCAGTCATTACAAAGATTAAGCACCTCTGACCAAACAGTTAACTGAATATTAGAGTCAGTGTTTCATCTGAAGGAATATTGGAAGTTGGCAAGAAAACCTCCAAAACAGCCACTATCTCGTAAGCTACCTTTTTGAAAAGGAAGAATTCCGGTGTGCAAACAGCACCAAAATCTTTGGCAACTTCTTGCGTCTGCAGGAAATTTAACTCACCACATGAGAAACTGAACAATGTGCAGATATGTGGTTTAAGTCAACCATAAAATCCCCAAAAACTTTGGTCAAGAAAATATAGTTTACAAAGTAGAAATTTCATCCTAAGACAAGTTCTGTTAACTAATCTGAGAGACCTAGAGTGGCACTACAAGAACACATAAATATGGAAAGCATTCTTATCAGGTTTCATTTTAAACATTCAAGAGATAAACAAATCATTTAACACAAGAAATGTCTGCAGAAGTTAGTTGTCCAGATGAAGGAGCAACATAAGAGCATTCTTAGCCAAAAGTCACAACAATGTTCATTTCTCCAAAAAGAAATTTCAAGTAACAAGTTGATTAACATACAAATAGTCCTTGTAACTTTCTTGTATTCTGAACATATAAGAATTTCTAAGTAATTCAGTTGCCTGGAAAGTTGTTTCTCATTCTCAAGATATTAGTGATCAAAACATTAGATATGTAGAAATTTACAAGCATGAACTTCAACACACAAAGAGGTGGTATATGGATGTTTCAAACAATTTAGGAAATACACTTTCCTCAAAGTTAAGCTGCAAAATGTTAAAACACTGTAGTTTCTTCATAGGATTCATTTTAGACTGCATTAATTGATATATGATGGAAGTCTGTGCCTTAGAAAATCTTTATCAGAAGGTAGCGTCATCCTGTAATCCCATTAAAAATTAACAATGCAATTAACTGTTCCTTAATATTCACTCCCGCAGAAGAATAATAATGTCAGAACCATACATTCGAAAGCTTAAGAATTATTACTTTTCAACAATTTTTCTCGTTATTTTATGGGATCTGGCTATGCTCAGAGATGGCTTCAAATATTCACGGGCGATATAGCAAATAACTAAGGTATGATAAAGAGCCATCCATTTATATAATATCTGAAAATGTACAGAATAATCTATCCTCGATGATATTTGGCTTTTAAAAAAAGGAAGCTGTACGGACTTGCTTTAGTAATTGTGTCTCAAAGAGGGAGCTAGAAAACTTATGTACATGAAAGCAATGATAAATTGAATTCAGACCTATATAGATGATTTCCAATATCTTGAAAGTCATACAATGATAGTCGATAGGATCTTATAATTTCAAGCTTTGATATAAAGATCCAATGGAAAACTTATAAAAGTGGCTGGTAGAAGCTAACCTCATCATAAAGATATGGGAAAGGATAATTTAACAGTCTAGCTTCTTCCGCCATGAAATTAGGTCCATCCTACAGGGTGTAAGTTTATTTAGTGCACGCTACAGAGTTTCTTTAGGAGTCAACAAAAGCCAAGGAGAAGGACATACAGACCTGTGGGTGAGTAACTGCAGAATTTGACGAAATCGCTACAACTGCAAGTCCTTTCTGCATCAAAAGAAGTAGAAATTAGAAACCACAACCATCAAAAACCTGTTGACAAAGAAGTGCAATGAGAGTATGAGCGATCCAGAAAGCTTAGTTACCTGCATACCTTCATATAAAAATTGGCAAGCTTCACAATATCCTTTTTTAAGTGGATAACGAATGGGCAATGATTGCAAATAAATATAACCTGCAGAGAACAAGTTTGAAAAATCATGTCCTGTAATGAAAATGAATCAAAACATATCGTGTCCAAGGCCATGATGAACCAGAAATTCAACCACAAGAAATCCACATATCTGGTTAAGCTAAATAAGGATAATTTTTATATGGAAAGAGAATTGCATTCTATTCCAAGAATATAAGCAAGCCATGTACATTTCACCCCATAATAAACCATAACAAAGAAATTCCTTCAAATAAACCTCACAAAGGCTAAGTATGATACTCAGTTACTCACCAAAAGAGCAGGATAAGCTTCAAAATCTTCTAAAGTCCATGTTTTCCCGGTAAGCGGCTCCGGAAGCTATATACACAAGGTTCAAAAATCAACGGTTTCCTCACCACATAATTAAAACATAAACGTCAAAATGTATTCTACCTTCGATCAGATACTGTAAATAATTTTACTTTCTTTACAACTTCGTTCTTTGCACATCAAATAGTTCATTGCCAAATTTGATTGATTTATAAGCCAAAATTAAGCAAAATTAAGAAAGCACCAGAATTATAACAACATATTATTCAATATTAAGGAAACAAAAAAGGATGTGGACCTCGAAATGGGGAGCTCTGGAACCGAGTTCGACGCCTTTGGACTCAGTTCTTGCTGCTTTGATAACCAGTTTTCTTGCAAAATTTGGACGCTTCTGCCGCAGCTGGCCATTAAAACCCATCATTGAAAAGCTCTGCTTGTATAAAAAGGACAGAGAAGCTCCCAAAAATTGCTGCCGGAGATGGAGGAGCCGCGGGGCGTTGGCGAAGCCGGAGGAAAATGTGACGGTTGCAATCCCCGCCATGGCTATCTGATTTTTTTGATTTTCTTTTGCAGAATCACTGAAATGTTTGGTTGTGGGTTATCTACAATTATAAATGGGCCTTAAGCTGTATGGGCCTCCGAAAGTGAAAAAATAAGATACGGCCTAATTCAATAATAATAATTAAAAAAATGATTTTGTTTTTGGGTTTTTGGGATGGGGTGTTTATATTTCCTCTCTTTTCTTTTTTTTTTTTCTCTTGTACCACAATATTTATTTCATCTTGTAAGCCAATTTGAAGTTTTGAACTCAAAATATCATACTCCCTCCGTCCCATAATTATTGTCCACTTTAATCAAGATGAAATAATTTATTTTTGGTTAAACTTAATTATATTTTGTCTGAAACTTTCGGATATACCCCTGCCGAATAATACCTAAAGCCAAGTCTCCATTTTTTCATCCTCTTCAGCAGTCAATTGCTGCCGTTCCTTATTGATCAAGAAGGCCACATACTCCTCACCAGGCAACACAAAACCAGTGAAATTCTCCTTCCCACAATTTCAATTTCCCAATGAATGATGCCTTCTTCAATTTCAATTATCTCCAAACTTCCCCATAAGTCCATTATTGATTGATACTGTGGGTTTCTCACCAAAGCTTATACAGTAAAGAATAATTCATTACTGCGAATTAGAACAGTCCATCACTAGATTAAAGGGCTAGAACATCAAAGCCCCATAACCGAGACTAGAGTACATAGAGTGATTACAATGTAGCATAATTAATCTCTAATATCCGACAGCTAGAGAAAATTTCGGTTTGAAGAATTCATCTATAGCTCAGACATTCTTTAGTGTTCTAGCACAGTCTACCTCATCCTCACCGTCGTTTAAAGCCGTCGGAGTATGGGCTAGTTTTGAAGCTATTGAATTGTGTTCACAGTCGGAGTAAAGGCTAATTTTGCTGCTATTGAATTGTGTTCACTTCTGATGTGTGTTGTTGTGTGTGGATAAAAACGTTTCCAATCACTAGATTAAAGGGCAAATGTGTAACTCATTCCATAAAAAGTCAAATCGGACAATAATTTTGGGACAAAATTTTTTTATTAAAGTGGACAATAATTATAGAACGGAGGGAGTAATTAAATTTAAAAATTTCATTTTAATTTGCATGTGTACTCACTCCGTTCAGAATAACCTTAAAGGTTGTATTGTGTTAATTTAATAAGTAGGTCTGTTTTCTTTAGAAGAATTGTTATTAATCACGAAGGTATCAATTACTGATAGCATAATTCCAAAACTAATTTAGAATCTACAAAATATGTTTGCTCAACTTGCAAGAGTTCAAATAGAAATATATATGGTTAAATAAACAAAATGTATTCCTCCATTCAGATACTAAAACTGTATAGTTAACAAATTAATTTTATTTCTTTTTAAATTTTTTTTTTTGTATTGTTGCATTAAAGGGCAAAACAAACATGGAAGGCTAATCGTTAAAGGGAGAAATATTTACCGCTGTCGCTTAGCTCTTCTTTCAGTACATCATCCTCGTTTCTCCGGCTTGATGATGATGTTTAAAATCCCAGAAGGTAATACGAATCCAAAGAAAAGGAATTCGAAGAACCTTAATACCCATTCCCCTTTCTGTCCATCGGATGTCCACATTGTTGTTTCAGTTTAATGTTTTTTTTTTTTTTTAAGGAAAAGCTTTATTTTTGAGAGTTTGCAATTGGGACCTTTCTTATACCTCTGTACAGAAATGATCTTCCTATTTGGATTCTTTTTATATTATATTTTATGGACAGAAGAAGTATTAAAAATTAAATTTTCCCAAAGAAATTCTAACTCAAAACCTATACTGTGCAGCAACTTCAAGTGGAACATATTTCTTTTACCTGTTCTTCCGGGGACTTCCGATAAAATTGGAACAATACAGAGAAGATTAGCATGGCCCCTACGCAAGGATAACACGCACAAATCGAAAAATGGACCATATTTTTTTTTACCTAAAAGGCTAAAACCGTGTTCGAATGAAGTAATTTATCCAATTGATTTGACCTTCTAAACAATTGTTAAAAAGAAACCCTAACTTATAGACCAATAGTAAAAAATTACTCTTTCTGTCCCGAAATGATTGTCTAGTTTGAAATTTCAGTTTTAATACAAATTGTACTAAAAATAAAAACTTAAATTGGACAATCATTTTGAGACCAAAAGAATACTAAATTTTAGCTACATAGTTTGAAAATTCAGTAAAATATGTAGCGCTATGGTAGAAAACCTACTTGCCTGCTAAATCAATTACATTAATCGAGATGTAACTATCCACTAATTTTCGTAGTTTTGATAATTATCCGAGCGTGACCAAGGAATTCCCAACTTTTGAAGTTGGGAAGTAAAATTAGTCCAAGTTTCAAAGGGGAATTCAACCCCCAACGTTAGACAAAGAACCCAATTAAGTGATGTAGAACCAGGTTTCTATCAACTTTGAAGAGTCAACTTCATTGATATAGAAGGAATTCTCGGATGATCTATGAATACCGTTGGAAAGATCTATAAGTTTACTTTAACATATTGTTTCAAATTTGGAGTTTTCAAAATCAAGTTATGGCCGATTAACTAAAGTTGCACGATGCTGATCACTGTACAAGGTTTGCTTATGTATTTGAAAGGGGAAAAAACTGCATATCATTAACAAACACTCTATCTATCTCACAAAAATAATTCACATTATAATATATGAATTGCATTAAAACTAGTAAAATTCACAAATTATTTTCTGAACGGATGGAGTACCTCTCACAATCAATATCTTGACTAAATGTATAGGCAACAAGTTGAGCCGCGCGCATCCTTTTGTCAGTTCAAAACCACCATATCTATTTATACTTATTGAAAACAGCTGTTACAAAAGTCACGTGACAATTCCAAAAAAAAAAAAATTTCCCGCTTAAACTCCACAAATGCCACGTGGCAGTTGTTTTTAAGAGTTGGAAGGAATGTCATAATTTTATATATCTATTTAAAATTATCATAATAGATTAATTTAATTTTATGGGTCAATTAATTTTAGGCATCTATTTTTGGAAGTAAATATTAGAATAAAAATTGACAAGAATTGACATTATTTTATCTTTTGATTTTTTTCCTGTAAAATTTTTTTATCATAAGAAAATACTTTTTTCTTTCTATTCTACATATTCTTTTTTAAAACATGTTACACAAAGCGGTAACTACCCGGACTGATAAACTAGTACTATATAATATAACCTAATTAAAGTCATTTGATTGTCTTTTTTTTGTTTAAAAAAAGTTTTTTTGTCATTGAATATAAATTTGTAGCAAGGGGGAGTTCTTTCTTTTAGGGTTGTCCTAGTCTTTGGTCAATAAGAGAAATTACTCGGACAAACTAGGGTTTCTGGGGAAGACATGCACAACTACGAGCCATACGAAACATCTTATCCCTTATAATAATCATCGATTATTCAAATCACTAATCCAGCTGTTTCAGTTTTTTATCTCCAACCCAAGAAAAAGAAAAGAACACATGAAATTTCTTAGTAAAAAGAACTCTTGATATATCTTTGATCCATATTAGATTAGTCTACAATTGATAACTTCTTCGCAAGTATTTTAAGACATGAACATGAAGTGAAAGTATCACATCTCGACTTTCATGTAACCGTAAAAGGGACAAATTACCGCCGGCGCTCTACTACATCATCACCGTGTCTCCTACTTGATGTTATTTGATGATGGTAACAAAAAGTTTTTCCTTCCCATATACTCGATGCACATAGTCACCTTAAAATTACACAGTTGATTTTAGTAGTAATACAGGTAATTAACAACGAGAAAGCAATTTTCCTAATATGTTGGATAAGAATGAGGGAAAAATGTTATTAGATATTCATCACAATTTCAAGATTTCCTTAACAAAATTACAATTATAATAATAATAAGAAGAAGAATCAATCGTCCCAACAAAATTTTACCCTCCGATCTTGTGATAATATAATACAATTCACCGCTCCGATAGATATCCAGAACCTTTCACCCCCATTAAGTTGGTATAATTTACGCTAAAGATTGATGATTCAAATGACGTTAAAGATCGATGATCAAATAATTTTTTTTTTATTAAAAAGAAAAAAGTCAACAATATTGCATCACTTGATAACGTTTATTTCGAATAGAAAATTAGAGCATCTAACGAAGCGGCATGAATCCTGCCTTTTCTGGGAATTTACATTTGACAATGTTAGTATATGTTATGTATTTTGTTCCACTTTCTGCCGACTATATCCCTTGGAATTCATCTTTCCTATTTACACTTTCATTAGTAAGGACCGAGTTTTATCATACTTAATTAAACAATACTCCTCGTTTCAGAAAAAATAGTTCATTTTATTGAACAAAAACTGTAAAATAAAGTAAACTATTTTTCAGGTACATAAAGAATAATTAGTACTCTTTTTATTACAAAACGATTGTCTAATTCAGATTTTCATTTTTAGTACAAACTTACTAAAATATCAACTCAAAGACACCAATCATTTTGACACAGATGGAGTTTTGTGTTGTCGCGCGCCTGCAGTTGCCAGCCAAAAGCCAATCATTAAGTTGAAGTACTAAATAACAAAAAAAAAAAAAACAAAAATGAAGACACATGACGTATATTCGAGCATATTTTTGGTGAAAATAAAGTCGTTGTAATGGTGTCCAACTCTAGAGACTATAGATAGCCGGAAAATTATGATTACGATAAACCAGAGAAAAAGGAACAAAAATTAAGATTACTACAAGAGAGTCTCGTAATTGAAATTGTAAAATAAAAGAATTGAATCTTTCTACAAGTTCATGCATCTAAAATTCGCTTCTCTAATTAACGTACATAATCGTAGAAATATTTTGATGAACACACCTGGAATATTTGTTCTTCTTCTTGTTGAAAAAAAAAAAAACAAAAACAAAAACCAAAAAAAAAAAAAAAAATGCCGTCTGTCTACATATGTATCAGCCGGGCACCCAATTAATAAGCGTCTTATTAAGTTTTTTTAATCATCAATCTAATAGAAGCCAATAAACTGATGGAAACGATTGGGGTTCATCGTGGTAATAATTGAACAATTTCTAGTTAGGTGTTCCTAATGTACAGATTCCGAGGTTTTAGCATCTTGAGATTAAAATAGGATAGTAGTCTTCCAATTAGGGGGAAACAATTTTATTTTTTTTAACATAAAAAAATTTGGACGCCCTAGGAGATTGGAACCTTATTTCGAATAACAATAAATCCAGCCAGGTTTACCATTTCGAGTCATTTATTTATTTATATTTGTTGGATATCATACTTGAAAATAAAGGAACGACGAAAATGTTGTAATCCCTCCGGTCTTTATTATAAGGCATTTTAATTTCGTTATAAGTTTCACTTAAGATGTCTATTTAATTGAAATAAAAAACTTAAAAATATTTCATATCAATTAAAAGACCACAACGAATATGAAAATATATTTTTAAGGTTTTTTTTCAATTAAAAAGACATGTTAGATGAAATTTAGGACGAAACCAAAATGCCTTATAATAAGGACCGGAGGGAGTATAATAGTTATGACTGCTGATTTTAAAACTTGTAAATCCAATATTAAAAATGTAGTTTAAGCTATGAAAGAGTTGAGTTAGGAAATAAGCATGAATTTTTATACTGCAAGGTTAGCATTATGTTCAAACCTTGTTAGACTTTTTATTTTATTTTTTGTTATATCATTTTTTTTAAATGTAATGGAAGAAAAAAAACCCCAAGCTAGTTAGTAGGATTTCAGTTTACACAACTCTTGGATTTAAGAGATTTGTTAAAAGGAAGAATTCTACCATGATCCAATGTCACTGGTGTAAAGTACCTTATCTTATTTTTGTACATGAACCATAAGCATATTCTAATGAAGCGATAATTATTGGTAAAGAAATGGTTCTGTTGCTTTGTTGGTGCATGAAATGATTGAAAATTGAAATACCTTTCCCCTGATTAGTACTTCAATTTTTTTTAAGACAAAATATCTGTTTAGAGTGAACTGTGGAAACGATCAATTCTAATAGACCAAATCAAGACCAACAGTTCCATTTTCTGTTCTTTTCCCCTCCATTAATTTAATTACTGCTTTTGTTTTATCTTCTCCCTGGCAGAACTATCACTGTTTTTATTTTTTTAAATGGAAGCAAAAAGGCATTTATGAAATTAATTTGTCGGAACGCCCAACAAAGCAAATAAGATATAAATTTTGGAGCTGTGTCTTGGTATTTGCTAAAAACAGGTTTAATATCAGTGAAACTGCCTGTTTGAGAAAAATTAATGCTTAGTTCTGAATGCTTAATACTGAATAAAAAATACTGAATTCATTAAGCAGTTACGGAATAAACAATAAACTAATTTTTATTGCTTATATTTTGTACTACAGTTTCTGCACCACTTAATTCAATAAGAAGTTTAATTTTTGATATCAAACATGCTGAAACCAATAAGTACTTGCTGGAATAATTTTAAGCAATAAGTAGTGATATCAAACAAGCTTAGCTGTTTGACAGGTTTTTAGTGTGTGTTTTGTTTTGAAAATATAAAAATGTGTATTAGAAAAATATTTTAAAAATTTTATTAAAATGTGAAATATATGAATAAAAATTCTATAGTAAAAGTGAAAAAAAATTCCCTGAGAAAAGGATTCAAACCTGTTCTTAATTTTTTTCACTGTTATTAGACGTACAGTTAACCCGTTTATATTCGAATTCGAATGTGATAAGATCACAAGAAGGCCCCACCAAAAAATGTTCTTTGAAGTTATTTCTCTCTCTTTCTTTTTTTTGTTTTGTTTTTCTTAAAATTAAACTAATCAAATTGCCTATCATTCTGCAGGATACAATTTCTCACCACAGCCCACACCACACATTAATAATTAGCTACTTTGTGAACCTTGGATGCGCGACTAGATGTATATCAAGACTTAATCCCGGAGCTCGTTATTAATTGATTAAACATCAAATATTCACAAGATGACCAAATCGTTTCGTGCAAACTTGGGATAATCAACATAAAATAATAATAACAATAATCTTAAAGAACTCAATAATTACTTGGAAATATGTAGCTAAGTTCAGGGACTCAAACAAGGTCAAATCCCAAAAGGTCGCAATCATGTTATGTCTACTCTCTACTTGTGCAATAATATATACTCTCTCCATTTCAATTTGTAGGTCGTTTTAAGTTTGGAGAGATTTTTCAAAATATAAGTCGTTTACAAATTCTAGACAAATTAATAACCATTTTTTCAACTTTACCCTCAATAAATTATGTCAATCTATTTTCATTTAGTCTTGTTTATAGTTTCAATATAATTAACGATGGGTAAAATAGATATTTAATATAAAAATTAATTGTTAGATCATTGTCTTATTAGTTTACGTGCAAAGTCTAAATTAACTTACATTTTAAAATGGAGGGAGTATAATACAGACAGAAAAGGAGGTTATTAAAAACATAGGAATAAGTGAAGCTGAAAGTCTCAAACACCAATAACTTGCAAGATTTCGAAACTACCAGTAATAAACAAGATGCATTCCCCCAAAGAGAGAACAGCAACACATAGATTCACAGGATTAGGTGGTAAAAGATTTCTTCTAAATTTGAGTATATCTAGCTAGTTTGATCAAGTATAGCCAAAAGGGTCTCAAAACTCATCAAGAAGATATAAATGATGAAGAGAAGAAGAGAAATAGAGAATGGATCAGAAATAAGGTCCGCCATTGATGAACTATCCATGGTGGTTCATAAAGTTAAACCCGCTGATCATAGCAGTGGTGCGGCAAACGAAAATCATCAAAATGTTTCAATGGCTTATATTCCCACCAAGCCTTTTCTATCAATCTGCAGCTTGCTCCTTCAAGTTCTTGGTATGTTTCTCCGATCAATATTTTCCATCCTTTTTTTTTTTTCTTAGTGTTCATGTATAGATTAAATGATTTATTCATCCTTATGCAAATTTATCAAACGGGTTAGACTGATTCGTTATATTGTCTGATTGAGATTATATTGTGGGATAACTTTCATCTGAAATTTCGTTCTTTTTTTGTGTGGTTAATTTGATAATCTCGATGGGAATGTGAAGATAAGATAGGCCCAACAATGGCTGTGTTGAGACAAGACATTCATCAGAACATACAGGTAAATGATTGATTGATTATTTTGATATGATATTCACGAAAGGGGAAAAGAAAAATCCATTGACAAGTTGAGTTATAATTTCACTATTCTCATTTTTTGTCATTTTCAAGTTACGTGCACACCACACGCCTCTAGGAAGAAAATGCCATGCCTGTCATTGTTGACTTTCATCATCTATAATTGATGTCTTAGTCTCAAGACAGGGGACAATTAAACGTTATAATTAAAATGTAAACAAAATATTTGTTGCAATCGTAAACAAAAAATTTTTGTGTTTCTTATATTTGAATGATTTCCATACAACTCCCCAGCGATCTCGATCCTTTCCTATGTGTTTTCTTCTTTTTTAAAAAAATCCAATTAAAGGGTATTCATTTTAATTAAAGGAGTAGTAATATTCATAATGTAATTTTAAATTAAAGTTTCATTTGGCCTTTTTTTTTTTTTTGTGATGATGATGTACCAGAGCTGTGAATAATTTGCTGATATTAATATTATTGATGATTGTTGCTTAATCAACAGCGGTTAGAGAAGATATACGAATCAGAGCCATCACTTTATTCCAATGTATTGGAAATATTGAAAAAAGAGGACGTTGAAGGCAAAGCAAGAACTGGTCACAGCTGTAGTAGAGCCTTTGTTTGGTTGACCAGGTAATTAATTAAGACTAGAAAAGTGATTTAAGAAAATCAAGGCTTAGAAACTCGAACCCTTTTGCAATGTGACTGCGATTCGTTTAAAGTAGCCACTTTAGAGATAAGACACGAATAATACACAAAAAGTGCGATACGAAATGGATCAATTGGTGTTTGGTAAGGTTTTTGGTAAGATATTCTTTGACAACTTTGTGCAGATCATTGGACTTTACTGTTACTTTACTGCAATTGTTGGTGGAGGATCTGAATAGGAATTTGGAACAAGCAGTGGAAGAATCATATAATCTCACTCTCAGACCATGGCATGGTTGGATTTCTTCAGCAGCATATAAAGTACCAACATTTTTCTCAACTCATCATCCAATAAAGAAATGTAGATGATTTCAATGAATTTTTTTTTTTTTTTTTACGGCCTAAAATGTATTTTTGGCCATATGTAATGACCAATTCTGAGATTTAGCCTTCATAGTTTAGTTCCTGATTTTCTTTTGTTTACTTGGTAGGTAGCCCTGAAACTTGTGCCAGATACCAAATGTTTCATCACTCTTCTGATGGCCAAAGATGAAACTGAAGACTTGCTCAAGGAAGAAATGTGCACCTTGATTTCACACTGTGTTCCCATTTTAGAAGAAATTCATAGTGTTCTGGTAAAGCCATTTCTCTCTTATTTTGTTACTACTAGTTACCACAATTTCAGAGTAATTTGCTTCAATCTTCTTCTTCTTTTTTTTTTTTTTAAATTTTTTTTTCACACTTCTTGCAGAATGCCAAAGGACTGGATAGATTAAAGTGTACCTGAAAGAAAAAAGCAGATGATAACTGATCAAACCAACCAGATTGTACATACTGTGTATATAGAGCTAGATCTCCGTAAGGTTTCTGTGTTGATTTGCTCATGTATACATAGATATAAAAAAACTGTAAGAAATGGAAAAAGAATGTAAGTAATACAAGTAGCTACTTAATTTCTTCTAGTTCATGATGGCATTATGCTTAGTTCAGACTTCAGATAGTGAAAATCAACCCTTTTGGCCGTACAAGTTCGCTGATTTGAAAAAATCAAAATTGACTGCCTGAAATGTACCCTCTTTGTAGGGTTTCAACTGCCGAATGAGTTTTGATCTTTTAAGGAGAATCTTTAATTCTTCATCACTGACTTTCCAAATCGAGTCCCGGGGAATGATGAACATCTGATTCTGTTCCGCGGCTTTAAAATGAATCACTACAGGGGCTGATTCTGTTCTTGTCTCTTTAGGTGAATTGTTGCCAAACCCAGATTCTCAAATTCAGCCCAACAAAAAAATTCCAAGAAATAGTCCTTCAAATTTCATTTCTAAAATCATTCTCTCTTTTTGAGTCTATGAAGAGGATACAGGGGATGCTACTCAATCTCCATTGGCAGCTCTGCATCATCTTTTATGAAAGGGAAGATTGTCATTCTTCACAGCTGAAATGGGTTTCCATGCTTTTGAATGTAATGGTTCCCGACAGCTGTTGCACAATTTGGAAGTCGCAGCTTCATCATATGATGGGCTTTAGTAGTAAGTTTCAGGCGATGCTGCCGGAGGCTGAAATGATGCTGTTCCCCCGTTTCTACTTTTGTTGAATGCAAAATTGCAGTAAATACAGTATTTTTGGGTGTGTCCTGCACCAAAACTTGAGACCTTTCCTTGGCAATGTTGATTTTGTTCTGAATACTTGCCATCATGAAAGGGCCACCTACCTCTTTTTCTTCATGTGAAATATTGCTCTGAATAGATTAGTGATGAATTGCGATTACTGCCTTTAGTTGAATATGAATTTTTCACTCGTTACTCTGTTTTGTTTAAGTAGAAACCAACTGAAGATACTCTTTGCATTATTCTTTTTGGCTGATTCTCTGCCTCCCTGTTTCTACTGTTGATCCAGAACACACAGATAGGTCGCAATGGTGAGGGCGTACTCACGAAGGGGTACAGACACCCATGGGAAAGGGTGACTACTGCTTCTTGGAGCAAGTTTTGCTCGTCCTTGAAGTGGACAAACTGAACCAAAAAGTTGATCCTCGTACCGGGAAATTGCACACAAATCAGCCCTGACTATCCATACTCCTGGGCCTTGGTTTCTTTGCAGAATCACTGGTCAAGAAATTTGCCACTGTGTTGAATCTACAGTTGTTGATGCTGCTTCTTGGTCGATGCAACTGTCAACTGGGAACATTAGTCTTCAAAAGTTTGTTGAGGTGGAAGAGAAACCGCTATGAACCCCATCCTGAGAACCCCACGGATTGGTCAATCTGCAGGCAGGAGACCCGAGACCGGCATTCGCATTAAACCACTGTCAGCACTGGCATCGATGGCAGAAAAGATTGAACAGATGTGTTGATAAGTTCCAACGGAATACTGCCAAAGGAAGTAATGGAGAGGATCTGTAAGTATCTTCAAGCTGAATCTAGGGGGATCTCGATTTTAGTAGCTCATCTGTAGAATGTGTAGAGTTTCCTAGTATGTTAGAATAATAATAAGTACAAGGAAAAATAAAAGGAAATGATCTCATCCATCCATTTTAAAAATTTTCCATAGACACATTATTCTTTGCAAATTTTCCTTGTCATTTTTTCCGTATGTATCACTGCTCTATATATTTATGTCACATAGGATTTAATTCTATATGCCAAATTTAGAGAAAATTTAAATTTAAAATAACCAAAAAAAAAAAAAGAATTACTAACTACTAACCAAAAAATCTCAACAAACTTCAAATCTGCAGGCACTACTATCATTGTTACTAGATATTCAGTTTTTGATATATCATTGATCAATGTATTTGAGATTAAAAGGCAGGAAAACACTTTGTCAATGGTATTTTTATCAAATAAAAAATCATCACTATTACCTTTTAAATTAAAATATTTGAAATTAAGCAGAGTTAAATCAAAAGAAGTAATTAAATGGAGAACGCAAGAACTTAAAATAATGAATGACTAGAGCAAAATTGATAATTTGATAATTAATATTTTACAAAAAAAATCTTTAATTAGTAAAAATATTGTAAGAAGGATTAAATGATGAAAAAAAAGGTTGGATGGTATTATTAAGGGAAAAAAAATATACCCTCCATTTAAGTTCTTAAATAGAAATTTTTTTAAAACGAGTGAAACTAAAATAAATGAATAAACGGGTAAAAATGAAACACACTACATTGAGAATCACATTAACTTATATGAGAACGACTAAATAGAATAAAATCACAGTTGAGTGTATTATTATTAGCCAGGAAAACAATTATATATCTATCCAATAAGCTCTAAATAGAAAATTTTAAAAAACGGATGAAGTCAAAATAAATGAACAAATGTGTAAAATAACTAAAATGTAATAACTTAAGAATCCCTTTAATCAACTTAAGAAAGAACAAATGGTGAAAAATTAGTTGCATGGTATCACGAGAAAACGTGTGATAGTTTCACAAAAATAAATTTATTCAAACTGAAAAATACAAAACATTAATTGAAATAATTGAATAGAAAAGTAAAATAACTAAATCACAATTCATTGAGGATCAATTTAAATTATGTTAGAAGTAATAAATGGAGAAAAACACGGTCAAATGTCATCATTATTTAAAGAGGAAAAAAATGAGAAGATACATCTACAATTAAGTAAGTTTCTAAAAAATAAGATATATAAATGGGTAAAGAAAAGTGAAATATAATAAGTTAGGAAACATTTTAAATACAGTAGAACATCGTTAAATTAATAATCTATAAATTAATAACTTCTAACAATTAATAATTTTCTGAGGTCCCAACTTGAGACTAGCACAAAAATTGAAAAATAAAATTGATAAAATGGTAAGATAATAATGTTTCAGAAAATCCTCTATATATCTATAAGTCCCAACAATACATAAATTAATAAATACTTTAATTGCAAAAAAATAATTATAATAATTATAAATATTTAGTGAAATATGAACTATTGATACTTGTTTTTTTTGTTCCTGAAAAATACTATGAACTATGTATGAATTTTTATTGTTCAAAGTTTTAATACTCGATTGATTCGAATGTAAAGACAGTTGCGAATTAAGTAATTTAGTTAAGTTTCTTTTTTCCTCATACAAATTCCTTAAATAACTTAGTTTTTTATCGATTATTTAATAATTCTATAATTTAATAAATTTTGGTAGTCCCAACACCATTAATTTATAGAAGTTCTACTGCAACTTGAAAAGGAATGAATGGTGAAAAAAAAATAGTTTAATGGTGTCACTAACAGGACTAGTTTCTCCGTGACACTTTCCTGCTACACACTCTGTCTAATAATCTAATTATTTCTTATTGACCATATATTTTGTGCTAATACATAGATAAACCATAAACCAACATATTCATTGTAGATAATTTTCATATGGCTATTTTTTTAATGAAGTTTTACCACTTTTAGTGAATTTTTATCAATGAAAATTAAAATAAATAGACCCTAACTCAAAATAAGTGAACCTTAGTCCTAAATATAACATTAAAAGTGATAATGAATGGTGTAAATGTTAAAACTACAAAACTATACTAAATTATTTACATAAAGTGTAACAGAAAAGCGGCATAGATGATCTCGTGCCATCACTAAGGGAAAATAACGGGTCATTTTTGGTAAAACACATAATTATACGTAAAAAATGCAAAAAAAAAAATGAAATAAAGATGAACATGTTAAATAACTAAAATACAATATGATGAGAATCACTTTAAGTTATGTGAGAAAGACTAAATGGAGAAAATTACAGTTGTGTGATATTATTAAGAGAGGAAAAATTTGATACACATACCACTAAATTCTAAATTGTAAATTTCTAAAAATAGGTGAAACTAAGACAAAACAGAATATTGATTAGAGTAAAAAATATTTAGAATAAATGAATATATGAGAAAATAATTTAATTATAATAATTTTAAAATATACATTACCATCAGTAAATCTTTAATTTTATTGTTTTTTTCATGTTTCTTATACATATGAGTTATTGTGATTGATCATTTGTCATAAAAAAAAAGAAAAACAATTTTGGAATTATATAGGGGGGAGCAAGGACCAAAAGCTTGATTATAATAGCACATTTAAAAATAAAAATTGTGGTAGACCAACCTAACATAAAGCTTCTAAGTAGAAATTCACTCCAAACCATCAAAATATTTTAGCCACATTATGTTTATAAACCTAGCTAATAAATCAGTTATTGTAGTGTATTCTTTGTACTTATGCTTATTTTATTTACTAAAATTACCTCGAATAGGAGGCTGATTTATAGGAAATGGACATGGTGTTGATCAGTATCATCTTCATCTTATTCTGTTTGATTTTTATATGCAATTTTTATATGTATATATAACCAAATATTTTCTATTTGAAGTTAAAGTAAGCTGAAGGCTTTGTTTGGTTTGTTTTTATGATGGTCTTTTCAAAATAATTTCATAATAACTTCACATCCTATCATACCTTTGCACATTTAATTTCAATATAGTTTTTAATAATATTTTTTTCTTATTTCATTTTTTCTATTTGAATATAGTTGTCCCATCCAACGGACGAGTTTAACATCTAGTTAAGATAAGATTGTAAATGTATATAGCCTCGAATGATTATGAAATACGGTTGTACTTTTAAATTTTTATTATAAATAAAAAAAGGAAATACAATGTCTGGTATTTTTCCTGTAATGCATAGCTTTTAAAGACAGTTACGATAAATTATCGCATTTAAAATGTGCTTTTAAAAAAGTTATAGACTATTAGTATTTTTGTCATTTTGAACTTTTAAATTTTTAATTTTTGGGCAAATTGGATAAGCCGGTTAAAATTTATGAATTGATATAATCTTAACTCAATGTTGGCTTATTTCTTATTTTCAAATTTAATTTCTTATTGTTTATTTTTTTAATCATAGTTAAGTGGGTAACTAAATTGTTGATTGTTGATGACTGTAATCTTGGTACCACTACGGATGAAAATAATACTCCCCCCCTTCCCATAATTATTGTCCAGTTTGGGTTTTTATTTATAGTTCAAATTGTACTAAAAGTGAAATCTCAAAGTGGACAATAATTTTGGGACAGAGGGAGTACATGATATAATATTCCTAACTATGGATTTGGTGGGAGCATGGACATTGATATTCACTTAAGTTTTTGTTTATATATCACTGTTTTGTTTTTATCAATTTCTGATGGGCGTAGACAAAGTAAAATACCATATAAACAAAAAAACTTTAGCGCATTTTGAATGAATTTTTCTCCATACGTTTGAATGCTCTTACTTTGATTTGCTAGTGAGTATCGTATTTTTGTTATTATAAAACTAGTGGGCGGCCCGTCCATTGGACGGGTTGTGAAGTTTTTCCCAATCAATTAGTGCAAAATATAATTTTATACAAACGAGACACATCAATTAACTTATAATAGGTACAAAGTTATTTAAAGATGTTAAAATGGTGAAGAATAGTAACTTATTTAAAATGGGGGAACATGTGAATATCAATAAACTTCAAATAATGTATAAAAAATCATTAAATAAAATGTCAAATCCAAATGGAACAAAAGTGTTCTCAATCACACTTTATCCAGTGCTTCATTATAGACCACATTAGTAGTTCGGCATCCAAATTCTTTACCCTTATCACAAATGAGAACTTTTAATCATTTTCTTAACTTCACTCTAGATAAAGCGACGTACAACTGACTATGAGTGAAAACAGGACATCTCAAGTATAAACAAACATTTGAAAGTGATTGGCCTTTCCTCTTATTTATAGTCATTGCAAAGCAAACAATAACTGGAAATTGTCTTCTTTTGATTTTAACCGGAAACTCTTGTCAGTGGGATCGATCATCATTCGAGAAATGAATACTCTTTTTCCAGTATTTGTTCCTGATATTATTTTAGCATGAATGACTCGTTCCCCCAAATCAAGCACTTGCAGTTTTGTACCATTGCATAAACCTCCTGGCTGATCTAGATTTCGAAGCAACATAATAGGAACACCAACCTTCAGAGTTATTTTATGATTTGGCAATCCTGAAGATTAAATACTATTGAGAAAATCAACTGAATACATTGGATTATTTTTGCTATTCGGAGGTTTATCTTGTTAATCAACACTATCATAACTAAAATAAGTCCTTGCACTTCCACTTAAAAGCATGAAAATATGATCATTGATAGCATCAATTATACCATCATTTGATTCTCCTTCTTTACCATCACCATTTCTAAGCAACCAGACAGAAAACTCTTTAATCTCAGAAGATAATTTTTTATTATTCTCCTGACGAAGTCTCATGTTTTTTGTTAGTCTTAGCACCTCGCAATTTGACCAAATAGGAGAAGAATTGATAGCAGCCGCAACAATTTGCTGACGTGAAGCCTTTGGAATAACTGGCAAGATTTGTCTGAAATCACCTCCAAATACTGTAACTATACCACCAAACGGATGTTTTTTCTTGCTCGATGCAGAGAACCGACTTAAATTCGTTGGTGTTCTATTCAGAGCCTCAAAACAATAACGGTGCATCATCGGTGCTTCATCCCAAATAATCAACTTCGTGCGTGCAAAAAGCTGAGCCAGGTCACTTCCAGGATTAACTTTACAAAC